GATCTCTATATAGTTACCTATTCTAGGTACTTCATATTAGTAACATCATACACTATTTGTCCTTTTGCGATTGACTGATTTCACTCAGCATGATGTTTTCAAGGTCCATCCATGCTGTAGCTTGGATCAGGACTTCATTTCTCTTGAAAGTAGTGAGATGCCCAGGCACCATTTTTTAAATGGGAAAATATCCAACGTGCATTGTTAATTTTTTTTTAAAGCTGTTTGTAGAACAGCACATAAGAGGCATTCATTCATTCACTCACTCAACCAATATTTGTTGAGCATCTACTAGGAGGCAGACACTGCTCTCAGTACTGCGGATAAAGCAGTCAGCAAATTCTCCTCCTTCACGGGACTTACATTCTTGGTAAACATACGACTATATAACGGAGGTCAAGTGTGATGGGCGAGTTCTGGGAAAAAATAAAGCAGGGTAAAGGAATAGAGGTAATATCTGGATTTGGTGGTGAAGGAAGACAACTGTAAGGATTTGCCATTTAAGCAGAAATCTGGATTAAATGAAGAATAAGGCTAACAAATACCTGGAGGATAAGCATTCTGGGCCGAAGAAACAGCAAGCTGAAAAGCCACAAGGTGGGAACGTGCTTGGCGTTGACGAAAGGGCAAGAAGGCTGATATGGCTGGCAAGGTGTCCAAGGAAAGAAAAAAGTAATGAGGGAGAAGGAGAAGAGACCAATCACGTAGGGCCCTGTGGACCATGGGAGGGACCTGAGATTGTATTCAACGTGTAAGAGAAGGCCCAGGGTTTAGAGCAGAGGAATGACTTGATCTGATTTACAATTTAAAAAGAAAACTCTGACTGCAAGTTGGAGAACAGACTCTAGGGAACCAAGGGTGAAAACAGGGAAATCATTTATGAAGCTATCATAATATGGCAGGTGGTGGAAGAGCTGCTCAGACATGATTGGATTCAAGTCTTTTGAAAGGAGAGCCTACAGGGTTTGCCAATGGATTGGCCAAATGGTGTATGGTATGGAATAGTAAAGCGAGACTCCAAAGCTTTTGGTCTGAGTAAATGGGTGAATTGTCGAGCCATTTGCTGAGATGGGGAGAGGACCAAGTTGCAGAGGGATATGGTGGGAAATGCAGTTCTGCTTTCGACATGTTTTGTTGGAGATGCCTACTAGGCACCTAAGAGGAGATGTCAAGGTAGACAGTTGGACATATGAGTCTGGAATCCAGAGAATAGTTCTGAGATAGATTATAAATTTGGGACTTATCAGCATATAAAACCAAACCCAAACCCGTTGCCATCAAGTCGATTTAGACTCGTAGTGACAGAGCAGAACTGCCCCACAGGGTTCCCAAGGAGCGGCTGGTGGATTCGAACCGCCAAACCTTTTGATCAGCAGCTGAGCTCTTAACCGCTGTGACACCAGCTCTCCTTGATCACTAGCATACAGATGGTGCTTAAAGCCATAGGATCCACAAGGGAGTGAATGTAAATGGAGTGAACAGTTCTAAGAGCTGAGCCTGGAGGCGCGCCAACATTAGAGACTGGGAAGAGGAGGAGGATCTTAGATTTTACTCAGTGTGTAAAGCTAAGGAGACTAAGGAGGAACAGCCATAGAGATAGCAGGAAAACCAGGGGTGCTTTGTATCTAGAAAACCAAATGAAGAAAATGTTTCAACAATGTAAACGGGGAATATGAACTGATCTTTAGCAATAAGGAGATCATTTGCAATAGCAGCAAGAGAAGTTGCAGTGGCTGTGGTGTGGTGAGGTGGGGATGAAAACCTGACTAGAATGGACTCAAGACGAAAGGGCAGGGGTGGGGGGACGGTACCAGGAGAGGAGAAAGTGAACACCCTGAGTATCAATAACTCTCACTGCTTTTTTTTTAAATTGTTGTACTTTAAGTGAAAGTTTACAATTCACGTTAGTCTCTCACACAAAAATTTCTACATACATTTTTATGTGACCCTAATTGCTCTCCCTATACTGTGACAGCACATTCCTCCTTTCCACCCTTGATTTCCCGCGTCCATTCAACCAGCTCCTGACCCTCTCTGCCTTCTCATCTCACCTCCGGACAGAAGCTGCCCATTTAGTCTCTTGTATCTACTTGAGCTAAGAAGTACATTCTTCATGAGCATCATTTTATGTCCCATAGTCCAGTCTAATCTTTGCCTGAAGAGCTGGCCTTGGGAATGGTTTTAGTTCTGGGTTGACAGAGAGTCCGGTAACCATGCTTTCTGGGGATCCTCCAGTCTCAGTCAGACCATTAAGTCTGGTCTTTTTACTAGAATTTGAGTTCTGCAGCCCACCTTTCTCCTGCGCTATCAGGGACTCTCTGTTGTGTTCCCTGTCAGGTGGTCATTGGTGGTAGCTGGGCACCATCTAGTTCTTCTGGTCTCAGGATGGTGAAGTCTCTGGTTTATTTGGCCCTTCCTGTCTCTTGGGCTAATACTTTTCTTGTGTCTTTAGTGTTATTCATTCTCCTTTACTCCAGATGGTTGGGACCAATTGATGGATCTTAGATGGCCGCTTGCTAGCTTTTAAGACCCCAGACGTCGCTCACCAAAGTAGGATGCAGAGCATTTTCTTAATAAACTTTGTTATGCCAATTGACCTAGATGTCCCCTGAAAGCATGGTCCCCAGACCCCCAATCCCTGTTACTTTGTCCCTCAAAGTGTTTGACTGTACTCAGGAAACTTCTTAGCTTTGGTTTAGTCCAGTTGTGCTGACTTCCCCTGTAGTGTGTGCTGCCCTTCCCTTCACCTAAGATAATTCTTGTCTAATATTTACTTAGAACTCTCACTGCTTTTGAGGAGTTTTGCTATAAGCGGGAACAGACATATAAGGCATAGCTGGAGGCGGTTATAGGGCCAAAGGAGGTTTTCTTTTCTTTCTTTCTTTTTTTTTTTTAAGATGAGAGATATGACAGCATAGGCGTAAACTGACAAGAATGATCCAGTAGAGAGGAATAATTTGATGATGCAAGACAGAGAGTGGTCCTTAAGTAGGTGAGGGGGATGGGATCTAGGGCACCAGTGGAAGGGTTGGCCTTATGAGCAGTGAAGATCCTTCACGGTAACAGGAAGGGAGCAGTAACAGATTTGAGACAGAGAGCATGTAGAAGTTTCCTGATTGCTCCTATTTTCTCTGTGAACTAAGAAGCAAAGTCATCAACTGAGACAGAAAGAATGTAGGGTGAGGTACTGGAGCTTGAGGAGAGAGAAAAAGCTGTGAACTGACCATCTCTACGAGTACAGACTCAGAAAGCTGGATTTAACCAGCAGGTCAATCAGCAAGTTAATGTAGGTAGAATGTTGGATTTAATCTGCGTGGCCACACAAGTGTCTTGCGCTTGACTACCAACCTAAAGGGTGGCAATTCGAACTCACCCAGCAGCACTGTGGAAGAAAGGCCTGGTGATCTGCTTCCAAAAGATTATAGCCAAGAAAATCCTATGGAGCAGTTCTACTCTGTAACACATGGGGTTGTCATGAGTCAGACTCAACTCAACGGGGCAACGGGTTACAGGGATGCCGCCAGACAAGTAGGACAGGAGACAGAAGCAAGGAAGTTAAGGGAGTGAAACTTAGAACAGGAGTTGAATAAGAAGAGAAATGAGGACGTGAGGGATGATGACGAAAGAAGAAAAAAGGGTCAAGAGATTAGAAGTCCCAGTGGTATAAAGGAAATGCCGGGAGGAGGAACAAGATGGAGGAATAGATTTGGAAAGTCAGGAGGTGGTAGTCAGAGAAAGGAATGCTTGAAATTAAGATTCTGGAGGTGGTATATTTTTCTTGGTAATGACAAGGTCTAAAGAATGCACACAGAAATGGGACCTGAGAAGAGTAAGGGCAGAATCTTTGGAAGTGAGGAGTTCAAGAAATTGCAAGGGCCAGGTCCTGGATGAGTTGTCTGTGGGGATACTGAAGTCACTGGGAACAAGGACAGGAGCAATATAAGAAAAAGAACAGCAAGCCAGGGCTGAAGTGCTCTAAGGACTGCAACAAGAGAGGGGACAGGTAGTATATGAGCTTCCAAAGAGCAAGGGGGCTTAGAAAGAAGGAGGAACTTGGATCTGGAAGCAGCAATGAAAAGCAAACATGTCATCTCTTGCATCTCCAGGCCCAGAGGGAGTTGGATGTGGAAGAAAAAAACAGCCATTACTTGACAAGGCCACAGGGAATGCTGTGCCTTCAGGGGAGAGACAGATCTTCTGTAAGAAGATGAGGCAAAAACTCTGAGAAGTCTGAGGATGAAGGGGATTTTGCCAACGACAGACTATGAGTTTCAGGTATTCATTTGTGTTTTTTACAAAATCCATATTCACACACTTTTATGTGCCTGGGAATTTCCAAAAAGGATGGAAAAGAAACTCAGCAGCCAGGAATGATGGGCCAACCCACAGGCAATGAAATTTAAGTCCTGACTCCCTCCTGATAGTAGGAGAAAAGGAATGACCTCCTTAGGCACTCTGTTGAGGGGATTTCCACAGCGGGCAGAAAGTGATTGCAAATGTTCCTTCCAAGTCCCTCCTACACTGAGGTTCTGTGACTCCATGAATTTGGCTGTTTTTATTTTTGACAAGCCCCTTCGCACCACTGGACCTCAGTTTTCGTATATGTGAAGTGAGGAGGTTGGGCCATGTTTTCTCTTGACCTCCTTCTAGCTCTGATGGCCTATGAATCTCCTGGAAGCCAGCTCTGGGCCCAGTCCTGTGTTGGGAAATGAGACTAGAGAGGCACAGACCAGACACAGGAACCCAACAGCATGGTCTGTAGGAAGCACGAAGCCCCATAACACTGTCATTTGCACAAACATTTTTTTGTTTACCTAGTTACACACACACACACACACACACACACACACACACACAGAGGCCGGAAAATCCAGAACCATTTACCTGCACCCTTCCCCACAATCACACTTGTGGTCACACTATCGAGCTCAACAATATCATCTCACACGCACAGTGTCCCACGATCACAGTCTCACAAAATCTCGCAGACCCCCACCTACCTTGAGCAGGTGAGGCAACTGCTGGGTGGCCAGTTCCTTAAACTCATTGATGTTGAGGCTGCCCCGCCTGCCCTCCTGCCCTGCAAAGGTGAAGAAGGTAGTGACCACGGTCTCGATGGCCATCTCCAGCTCTGTCAGTGGCTCAGCGGCCATGAGGACCCTGAGGCTGGAGCCGGGGTCCTGAGGTGCTGACCTACAGGAGGCGAAGGAGCAGAGGGAGAGTCAGGTAGTCCAGGGATCCAAGAATAGGTCAGAGAGTCCCCTACCCTGGCTTTGCCACCTCAGGCCTCTGCCCAGAAGGTGTATTAGGGAGACGAGGGAGAGGGCAGGAGACCAGGCAACAGCTCCTCAGTCTAGGTGGGGGATGGGAGGCACTTCTGTTCCAGAAACCCTTCCTGCTGTAGGTCTGGCAGTCTGGGAGTCCTTCTTAAGTGTCTGTGTCTAAGGGACCCCTCTGTGGCGGTCCCTCAGACTGGAGTCCCCTCTGTCAGAGGCTCTCAGTCTGGGGGTCCCTCCATGGAGCTCTCTCAGTCTGGGGGTCCCTCCGTGGAGTTCTCTCAGTCTGGGGTCCCTCCGTGGAGTTCTCTCAGTTTGGGGGTCCCTCCGTGGAGTTCTCTCAGTCTGGGGTCCCTCCGCGGAATTCTCTCAGTCTGGGGGTCCCTCCGTGGAGTTCTCTCAGTCTGGGGGTCCCTCCGTGGAGCTCTCTCAGTCTGGGGGTCCCTCCGTGGAGTTCTCT